CCCCAAAACCCCAAAACCCCAAAACCCCTTTGGATTACAATTTGTTTGATTTTTGGTACCAATTTAATAAAAATGTCACTCGGTTATACAATAACATTAGTTCTTCTTTGAGGAATTCTCAGTTGTTCCTTGGCACAACCAGATGGGGCTTTGACTGTTGCTCAAAGATGCGAGAGATATGGATTTGGATATGAGGAATATCAGATCACTACTGAAGATGGGTACATCAATACTCTTATGAGAATCCCATCAACTCCGGGTAGTCAACAAGCAGCAGGCAAGCCTCCATTATATTTTATCCATGCGACTCCATTCTCTTCAGAAGATTTCACAGCCCGTGGTCCAGAAGACTCTCCAGCTTTTCATTTTGCTAATCTAGGGTACGATGTATGGTTAAACAACTGGAGAGGCAGCATTCATAGCAGAGGTCATGTCCAATATGATCCTCAAACAGATCACGAATATTGGAACTATGACTTAGTTGACATGAGATATGACCTCCTGGCTGACATCATGTTTATTCTAAATACTACAGAGTATGACCGATTAAGCACTTATGCATTCTCAATGGGAGGTACTACTCTTGCATACGCAATGGCAATAGAGGCCGAATTCTTTGCATCAAGAATTGGTGTGGCTGCTCTAATGGCGACTCCAATTTCATATGCTCACACAAACAACTTTAATTATGCAATTGCAGGGAACTATCCGTGGATACTCACTTTGTTTGGAGGAAACAGTGGCATTTATCATGGGCCAGGAGGCTTACTTGATTTTGTTCAGAGAAATATATGAGCACCATTCCCTACTCTTTGTATGATTTTAGGTGGTCAAGACCCAAATTCAGATGATTTAGAAGGGTTCTCTAACCTCATGATGCAAGGAGGAAGAGGCGAGAGCACTAGAATGACCACTCATTTTGTTCAGAGTGCCAGGACGGGGAGAGTCTCATATTTCGATTATGGAGCTCAAGGGAATCTTGAAGTCTATGGAACAGAAGAAGCTCCATTAATCCCATTACAAAACACTGATAATCCAGTTGCTCTTTTATACTCAGAAGAGGATCCAGGGTCAAACCCTATAGATATTGAACAATATATAGATCTCCTAGGAGATAATTGAGTATTTTATCAATACTATGATGTTACTCACACAGGGTTCTTGGTTAGTGAAAACTTCCCATTTTACCCCGATTTAGAAGAGCTATATGAAACTTTTAGAGGAGAAATAACAGTATAATTATTTTGAAGTTTAAAATCTTCCAAGCTAACTCAATAAGAAACCAGTGTTATGGGGTTTTGGGGTTTTGGGGTTTTGGGGTTTTGGGG